ATGGTTTAGTATATTGGTGATCCAGTCACTCCACCCTCAGGCTATACAGCGGTGATTTATGGTTGGTGCTGTAGGCTTGTGGAACAGACTTCCTGAGGAGTTGAAAAACTGCTCCACTTTGACGCACTTAAGCGAATTGAAGTTTGCAAATTGTAATGAACAATCCTTGGCAATTCCTTAATTAGTTTATTTTATGAATCATAGCTTTTTGAACCTGAGGGCCATGTGTAGATTATCGGGAGATATTAAGTGCTACCCTCAATAAAAAAAGCTTTATTATTAGACTGTCTTAACCGACTTATGATTCATGTGATATTGTTTTGAATGTGGAACGCAGTTGGGGTAGCATTCTGCAATGTACGATTTTTCCTCATCCACTAGATGAATTTATTTCATAAGTAATCTAATTTGGTTGTCTGTAGAAAGCAACTCCTTTCTATTAGGGTTATTGTCCTTAAATGTCTCATTTACAAATGTGGTATTAAATTAGATTTACTTAGGCTTATAAATTCGACATCCCAGAACTATTTCCAGTCAATCTAGAATCCAGTATTGTCTGAAAGGGTAGGAAGCTGATATGTGCGAACCTTGTGACTTTTTTTTGCCATTCCTCTTTTTCTAGCATTCTTGTCACCTCAAATCCCAATGATCATGTCAGCATTCCTTAACTTTTGATTTAAAGGCTTTTTCTTGATTATTAGTGCTGCAAACCTTTGGAGTTTTGCTTTCTTTAAGGAAAATAATACTGACCTGATGGAGGAGCTGGTGTATTTGGTGGTGGTGGAGTACCTAAAAAAACAAAATTCCAAGAGGAAGATCGGTGAGAGCTGTTGATGCATTTGTCGTTGGTTGTTGTTATCCTGTTATTAAAAATTTATTTGCTTCGTTAATGTGCAGGTGAAGTTGAAGAGCACGGCCCTAAAACCGTCTGAAACGCTTTTTTCCTCTGCAAAAGTTTCTATCAGTAAAGAAACTCAGAAATAATAAAAACGTTTCCGTTTAAATGGGTCTTTGTGTGTTCGAGCAGAGTCAATGAAAAGGACTAGGAAAAGTCATTGCAAACTGGGAGAGTGACATACCACATCCACCTCCACCTCCTCCTCCCCCACAGTTTTCTATCTTGACGTCATCGACGGCAATATCACCTTGCCATGATGTTCCACGAACACCTTCAAAAACGACCTGCAAAATAATTATATCTCGTAACATTCAGGTATTTTCATTGTAAGCTATTTTTCTATGAGAAATATCGTTAACATCACAAAAAACCTAGTCCTTTCAAAAATATAGTTTATCTTGCATAAAACAGTAGTCAATTATGACAGAGTTTTTTTTTTTCATTACAAAAATTCTTAGTTCAGAACTACTGATACCCCTATGAAAAAAAGTTGGCCCTGTTAGATAATAGGCCATTTGCTGACGATGGTGTCATTTTCTTCTTCAAACAAACTCCTTTTCGTCTTTTCTTTTATATTTTAGAATTTTGGTAATCCCAGCGAATCCCAGCGAGGTTTAAATAACAAAATTCCTAATTTGCACAAGAAAACCTGAAGGGTCCTGGTCGTAGTCATCCTCGGAGACCCAGGGGCAGTCAGTCGGGTCGGGAAAAAAGGCGGGACGAAAGTTTTCAAGTAAGGGCGGAAGAGCCTCGGGTTAACGACTCTCATGATCACCGAACTATTTCCAAAAATTCAAGTTTTACCGGCTCCTGATTGGGCACAAAAAATTCTTTGTATTATTTTGCCCAATGGGCGAACTGTTTCTCCTGAGTTCTTTTCGTGAGTTCGTACACGACGGCTATTGTCAGGCCACACTTGCCCGGTTCGTTCCAAAGCTTTTGCGTACAAGGGAAACTTTTATTTTCTACTTTCCTAAACAGAAACAAAGGAACTACCGATGAGTTGAAAAAACGTTTGGGTTACTATCAGCAAGAGCAATTAAAATTGACCTGAGAATATTCTGTTTTTGACGGATCACAATTAAGATGCGGCGGCGATGAGAAATTCAAATAGCTTGACAAGACAAAACAACAATTTTGGACGTGCATCACGCTTTTTTGTACATTTCTTTGCCGTCAACTGCACGACTACCCGTGAATGACCAATTTCACGTTTTGTGAAGGACGTAAACAAGCAATAACAAAATCATTCTCTCCGTGAACCTTGATATGGATCAGAAGAGTTTGCTTGCATTTGACAAAGTAAGGGAGTTGAATCAGATGATGATTTTACATCAAACTGAAAGTTTCCTGACTGCGAGCATTTCTTTGGTGCATAAGCTAGACAAGTCGTGATCGAGACAATAGCCGTCATGTACGAACACACGAAAAGAACTCATTAAGATGTGTTCGCCGATTGGGCACAATAATACAAAGCATTTTTTGTGCCCAATCAAGAGCTGGCATCCGCTTGAAGTTTTGGAAATGGTCCGGAGAGAGTCGGTACCCAGGGGCTCTTTCGCACGTAATAAAAACTTTCGTCCCGCCTTTTCTCCCTACCCAACTGACTGCCCTGGGTCTCTGAGGATGCGTCGTAGTAGTAAAATTACTGTATATCATGTATGCGGTTCATTAACATCAAAAGTAATCTTACGGATGTTGCTTTCTCTTGGACTTTCAATTCAGCCTTGTTCCACTTATTTCCCTGCGATCCTTTTTTTGAAAACTGTTGCTTGCCATTCACAAGGACTTTAAGTTCATTCACGTCTCTACCCAGCATGTGGTAATAGAATGAGATACATGTTGCACCATTTCCCAACGAAGGCTTGATCTCCAGTCTTGCATTTTCACCTGGCAGGCGAGGACTTGATGTTTCAATGTAAATGTAATAACCTATAAATGAACAAAAGAGCCCAAAATTCCGTTTATAAGAAGAAAACCTCTCCCTGGAAGAAGGGTCTTCCTCCAAGCCGAGTCAACTTTCAGCAAGCAGTTATATGAGAACAAAGTTGGCAGCTTTGTCCGAGCAAACAGCACTCGCGCATGCTCTGATTGTCTCGCCTTGACCGAGTTGACACGGCTGAACCAGCCAAAGTGTTTACATGTAGAAAAGTTAATTCGGTTTGGAGGGCGACCCTACCGTCACAAAAGGGTGACTCAGCTAGCTAGGCCGGTAAGCCTTCTAGCCGAGCCAACCCTATTTTTTTTCTCAAGTAACCGATTTGCCGCGTTTTATAATGAAATATGTGAAAAGTTGACTCGCCCAGGGTAACTCGGGTAGCCAAGGGTAGCTTCTACTCGGGTCAACCTTTCTTCATATAAACGGTGCCTTAATTTGAAGGAGACATAAGTATGCTTGGTTAGAAAATGCCTATGGAACCTATTCAGAATCTAAGATCAATCGCGTATTTAGAAAATATCTCAGCGTTTAAACTGACCTTTGCCTGAGTGGTCAGTATTAGGCCCTGTGCCTCCTGAAGGAGTGTTGGTGTTTCTTAAAGTCCAGTCAAACTTGTCATCTTTAAGTTGTTTAATCCCTTGGCAGAGACGACCGTTGTCAAAGTTGCAGGAAAATGCTGGAAAAATAAAAAAATTAATTCATATTGCTTTATCGTTTCGGCAAATACCAAAAAGGTAGATACTTAACTATTATATTCAATAATATATTGCTGTTATCGGCGTGGCAAAGGTGCCCAATCTTGATCAAGATTTGACATTAGCTGCTACGACTGTTCTCTCGTACATGGTAGTTTTACACTTACTTTCAGATCATGTATTTTCGTTGAGGTTTTGGCTATAACTTGGTTAGAAACAATTTACCTGATTCACGAACACTTTTGTCTGTCCAAAAATCAAAATTTTTATTTTTAACATGTTTCTGGTACGCCTTTACTAGAAAGCATTTGCGCCTGCAGGGCCTTGGATACGGGGACGGGACGGGACGGTAAGGGACGACGGAACACTACATCCAAGGCATGGGTCACATCTTTAGTCACCTTAATTTATGCTTCTCGATTTCAATTCTTACCCTTCCTCACTGTGGCCTACTTTGCGCCGGCCATTTACTTGAAATACAGCCTCCAACATGAGAAATTCTTACTTAACTTTTTTTAGCTTAAAGATCAATAATTAATACGAGTCTCTGAAGCTGGATTCACGTACCTCTGTTGTACTGTTTGCATGATGTTCACGATATCATCTACTTGACAAACTTTTTATCATTTCTCAAAAAGTGAAATCTTTCCCCACTCTCTTAAATATTTCTTCGAGGCACCCTCGAGAATCTAAATAAGCATTAAAAGCACTTGATCGAGGTAGACATATAGAATAATTAGTATAATTAGTATTACCCGCATTCTTACCAGTGCTCAACGCCGCCTGTGTCATGCAGAGTAGAACAACCAGCAACATTTTGATACCTATTTTGAGTTCAGTGCACTAGGTGTGACAACATCACCACATTTATACCGTGTTAGTCAACAGAACACACAACCTTTTACACACAATGTTGGCACTTCTTCGGGCTTATTTAATTTCAGTAACAAAAGGGAGTCATTTTAAAAACGGAAAATATTCAGTTGTATTGAAACACGTGCTGTTTTTTAATGGCATTTTTTTTATCTTATTTAAATAAGGTTAATTGGCCGGGTTAGGGCAAATGAGAAAATTGTTAAAACAACTTAGTATAAAACTAACTGATTACCAACACGGAAAACCAGCTGACCAGATGACTCAATTAAGTCAATTTAAACCTCAAAATAAGAATAAACTTCTACAAGAGCCTTTGGATCTTTTTGAAAGAAACCTGTCAGAATTAATGTAATCAGCCTTGTTATTGCTGAAATGCTTTATTTGTAATATAACCTTTTTAAATGTCCTATTAAAATAATGTAAAAAATAGAGTATAGAGGAAGAATTGAGAATTGAGAATTGAGAATTAATATATAACCACGTCAAAAATATAGAACGTTTTTAACTACCATAAATGCGTAAATGCGGTGCTGAAATTATAAAAGGGATTTATTGGAAACTATTGATTTAATTGATTTCAGAGAAGATTTAA